GTACTTCAAAAGATAAATCCTAACAATCTTTTACAATACCGAATTCTATTGTATTGATTTTATATGATCCTATATTCTTTGTATTAATTTTTACAACATCGATAAGTTATCAAGCAAAAGATGTAGGGTAAGAGGTTAGGATGCACGGCGACTAACGGCCATTTTGTTCAAGCGCGCGTCCAAGCTGCTCGCACCGATAGCCGTGTTACGGTGTACATAACTGTTATTTACACGAGTCGGGGGAGCTAGAACCGAGCTAGCTCACGTGTGGCTTCTTTGTTACAGATAGGGATGTTACGTTTCAACGAGCTATCCGTTGATCAATGCGTCCTCCTAATCAGCAACCTGGAACCCGATCCCTTTCATTCGACGGGATTCGAGTCCTACAAAGGCCTCCGCACGGCGATGCGAACATCTCTGCGATCGACGGGTTCGAGTCTTCCCAGATTACACGGTGGACGTTGCGTTCGAACGAAACGCGAAACCGACTCGAACCCGTCGCTTATCGCCGCGTTCGAGTTGGTCGGGTCCGGCCGTCAAATATGTGCCCAGCTAACTACATAAGATCAAACGTTCCGTTTCTGGACGGCGTTACCCAAAGTTTCGTAAATATTGGACTATCCATTAATTACCCTGCCCGATCTCGTCCGAGCATTAATAATCAACTCTTCGACAAATTAGCTGCGGCCGTCGTCGAGAATCGGGGCCGGTGTTGACCCCGGGACAATAGCGACGCCAGCTGGACCTCATTAGCGCTGCGTCAGAAATCTAATTTCACGGTGATAGATCATCGATAGAGTGCGTCGCGAATCGCGCGCGATTGCGTTTTTTTTTATCATCGGAAATGATGGATCGGTCGCGTGTATAGACACTTTGTACGTCCTCTGTTTCGGCAACGTTAGCGAGCATCGTTAACGCTGCGCTATGAGTCTAAGGATTCTAGGTGACAACACTATCAGTTACAAGTTTCGCGGGTCCTCTAGATAATTATACGGTCCTCCGCACTGAGGAGTAATTGACTAGTTAGAGGAATCAAGCGTAGATCCCTTTTTCAATTGACCATTCATAAATTAACCCTTTGCACCAGGAGTTTTTCATTAGAAGTACTCAACAGTTTTAATCAAATACCAACGACACTCAAACTGACTTAACGAAAAATCGCACATAAATCGAGAAAGAAGCTGTTTTATTTTAATATTCTACATGTCGATGCATTGTGCACAGTTTAATATTAAATGTCAAACTCTGTAATTTTGCTGTGTCGAATCGAAAACTCTTTCCGCAAAATCTGAAAATCCATGGAGCTCTTGAATACTAACAATCGCGCAGCAATCTATGCGATAACCTAATCCTAAATCTACTTCCTCGTTATCTGAATAACGAGATTGTTCATTCAGTTTCCGTTTTCAAGCGTGAAAGCTCGGAGTCGCCATTACGGCGGCATCCGAGCGCGAAGGGTTAATTCTACTCCGTTGGCACCAGAAGTCTAACGACTCTCGATAACGAGAGGACCAACAAAAACTCTCGAGCATCCTCCACGGAATTACGTTCCCTTGATCCTCAGGGATGATGGATCGGAAGGTCGATCGCGCGATTTCCTTTTTTCCTGCCGGCCGACCGCCATTCTCTCCGGTCCAGTGATCAATTGAGCGGCGCGGCGACACGCGTCGGACAAAGCGGCGCGGATCGGAGACGTGGGAGTCCCCCGGTGTTTATTCCCGGCGCGGAATCGAGAAGGCGGCTGGCACCGAAGATGATATTCACCGGTGCTTAATAAAATCCGAAGGGTCCTCGAGGGAGGGCGGGCAATCAGCGCGCAATATCGCGAGCATCGCATCGGTGTAAACGCGATGCCCCGGTGGGGGTTGATTCGCGTTAAACGAACGCGAGGGACGAGTGACGAGCGCCGACGTTCAATTGTGAACGCGAAATATTGGTTATCGATGCGACAGCTTTCCTACGCGACTACTTTTTTATTCGAGGGCGAAATAAAACGCTGAGGATGGACCGGGCCATCCTATTCCATGGCACGCGCGCGTGGTTCGACCGCGGTCGTTGATGCGCCTGTGGACAAAACCCGCGAATTCGACTATTCGCGTACTGAAAATTGAAGGATGCCTATGCGTTGCTGCGTAGTCTCTGCTATACAAAATTATTTTCATTTGAAAACCAATTCTGCGCGAATCAATTCCTCTATTTATGTAACGTTGGAATCGACGCGTAAAATATCCATTGTCATTTGAGAAACTGCATAATATCCTCGGAATTTAAAAGAAACAACCATGTGTTTACATACACAGATAAATAGATACATAGATAGACTAATAATCGAATAGACAAATACATATATAGTTGAATAGACAGATGTACATATAACCAAATTATCTCAAGCTTCTAATACCGCGATCATTATGATCTCCAAAGAGTAATAGTTTCTCGACTAATCTAGCCAATTACTTCAACTCTGCTCCTCAACGAATACTTTCCAACTTCAGTTCGCAAAAAGTAGATCTTCGATTCCGCGCAAAATAAAGATTGCCGTATTCTAGTCGCGCTGGCCCAACGCCCGACAAGATGGCGGACAGCGTATCGCGTCTCGAGTGTCGCGGAGGCGATCCTTTCAACGCTCTTCCGCGAGTACGTCGTTAAACGAATCCCTTCACTCGCGAGATCAAGATACAGCAGAAGTTTCATGTTTTATTTAAGGGTCCTCCCCGGTTGACCTTTAATTGACGGCGTGGGCGATTCGGACCGACGGACGGAAACGGTTTCTGCCTTGACGCGTTGCTAGGAGCAAGAAGTCGTCGCGGAAATTAACTGGCCGTGGGCAACTGAATCGTGGTTTACTCGCAACCCCCTCGATTACACTTGTAAAAGTCCCAATGAAACTTGCGGAGTACGAGTTGTGAAGCGACGCTCCCTTCCATTCTCTCCTTTGACCTTTCCGTATTCTTCGAATCTACTTTACCCAATCACGTCTTTATTTTCTCGGCCATCAACTTACTCGGTTGACCTTTTCTAATAGTCGCTCAGAAGCTAATACGGTTAACTTCGGAAAAGAATCGATAGAATTAACGTAGAAGATATTAATACATTGGCTTCTAAAACTTTTATCAACTTTATCGGAGTATACAGTCTTTTTGTTACAGATAAGCTCTGTGACAATACACTATTATATGTTCCATTAAAATTGACGAGAATCAGGAAACATGAAAGGACTTAGCTTCCGAGCGACTCATACATTCGATCTCCATTTTGTTAGAGACGTTTTCCAACTCGAGAACAGTCAGGAGGATTGACAACTAGATTACAGGGCTATTTCAATAATACTTCAAATACACAGGCAAATGGAGAAACAGGGAAAAATGTCTATCCCTTTGAAACTCGCGATCTTCGAATTTCCGGTGCACATGGTAATTTATATTTCACTAGAAATTCTGATCCTTTTGCGACTTCGAACTCCTTAGCTTTCAGTCGCATACGATCCTTCATATTTTAGTGTCCACGCTTATACCAGTGTATCCAGTGGATAATTTTTCGTTTGGACCGTCAAAGCCTCGATGCGTTACACGAAACTTGATACCGAAGAGAACATTTGATTATTCCGCCGTCAGGGGCCGAAATTGTGACTGAAAGTCACCCCTCGAGTGCAAAGGGTTAATATCGGTCCAGACAGTGACACACGCCGGTGACCGGTCAGCAGGCGAGGTAATTAAGACCCGGCGAGTGTCACACTCGAGGGAGACCCCTGTGTATCTTTCTTCTTCCGCCGAGAGGAAGATTGCTTTCGTGTCGGTTTTAATGCTCGCCGACTGAAATTGGCCGGATAATCGATATCGAAGCATCGTGAGCCGGTTAAACGAACCCCGACAAGAAGGGAATCCGATTAAGTTACTTCCACGATCGAATTTTGCCCTCCGACTCGCGTATTTAACATTCACGCATGATTTCGTCCGAACCGCGTAACGGGCTTACGGTGTTCGACAGTTCCCACGGCGTGCGGTCTTTACCGACGCAAATCACTTTGTCCGATGCCGGGGCTTTTAGAGTCTCTGCGACACCCGGCGCGTCCAGATGCTGCGGCTTATTAATTATCGATACCGTTCGGCGAATCTACTTTTGGATAGGGCTCTTTGGCAACCGTGGACCTTTGGCTCTTTGACGAACTCGAGCGGTAGAGGTTTTAAACGGTTTCGAATTTTCGAATTTGTGAACGTTTGAACTTCCGAATTTTCAAGTTTTCGAATTTGTGAACGTTTGAATTTCTGAATTTTTAAATTTGTGAATTTTCGAGTTCTTCAGTTTCTCAATTTCCCAATCTCCCAATCTCCCAATTTCGCAATTTCCTAATTTCCCAATTTCCCAATTCCTCAATTTCCCAATTTTTTAATTTTCCACTCCCCCAAGTTCCCAATTTTCCAATCCCCCAATCTTTCAATTTCCTAATTCCCCAATTTACTATTTTCTCGATTTCCCAATGTCTCAATTTCCCAATC